GTAGTAGTAGTAGTAGTAATAGTAGTAGTAGTAGTAATAGTAATAGTCGTCGTCGTCGTCGTAGTCGTAGTCGTGGTCGTAGTCGCAGTAGTAGTGGTAGTAGTAGTAGTAGTAGTAGTACTAGTAGTAGTAGTAGTAGTAGTAGTAGTAGTAGTAGTAGTAGTAGTAGTAGTAGTAGTAATAGTACTAGCAATAGTACTAGTAGTACTAAAACTTAATACTGAAAGTCGTAATCGTAGCAATAGCACTAATACAGGTAGTTGTAATAGTAGTCTTCGTCGTAGTCATGGTAATAGTAGTGGTAGTTGTAATGGCAATAATAATAGTGGCCGTAGTAGTCGCAGTAGCAGTAATAATAGTAATGGTAGTAGTAGTAGTAATACTACTAGTAGCAGTAGTAGTGGTAGTAGTAGTAGTAGTAGTAGTAGTAATGATAATAATTTTGATAACAATAATAGTAGTATCAGTAATAGCCGTCGTCGTCGTCGTCCCAATTATTGTTGTAACAGTAGTGGTGGTGGTGGTGGTGGTGTTGTAGTGGTAGTATTTGTAGTAGTCGTCGTAGTAGTAGAAACCAGTAGTAGTAGTAGTGGTAGTAGTAGTAGTCGTCGTAGTAGTAGTAGTAAAAATAGTAGTAGTAATAGTAATAGTAGTAGTCGTCGTGGTGGTGGTGGTGGTAGTGGTAGTGGTAGTCGTTGTCGTCGTGGTGGACATCGTAATAGTGGTAGTGGTAGTAATGGTGGTAATGGTAGTAGTAGTAGTAGTAGTAGCAGTAGCAGTAATAGTGGTTGTAGTAGTAGTCGTCGTCGTCGTAGTCGCAGTCGTAGTAGTAGTAGTAGTAGTAGTAATAGTAGTAGTAGTAGTAATAGTAGTAGTAGTAATAGTAGTAAGAATTAATACTAATAGCAATAGTACCGGTAGTATTAACAGTTATAATAGTAATAATAGTAGTAGTAGTAGTAGTAGTAGTAGTAGTAATGGTAGTAGTAGTAGTAGTAGTAGTAGTAGTAGTAGTAGTAGTAGTAATTGTAGTAGTAGTCGTAGTCGTAGATAGTAATAGTAATAATAATAATAGTGATAGTAGTAGTGGTAGTAGTAGTCGTCGTGGTGGTGGTGGTGGTGGTAGTGGTAGTAGTTGTCGTCGTGGTGGACATCGTAAAAGTGGTAGTGGTAGTAATGGTGGTAATGGTAGTAGTAGTAGTAGCAGTAATAGTGGTTGTAGTAGTAGTCGTCGTCGTCGTAGTCGTCGTAATCGTAGTCGTGGTCGTCGTAGTAGTCGTAGTCGTAGTCGCAGTCGTAGTAGTAGTAGTAATAGTAGTAATAGTAGTAGTACTAGTAGTAGTAGTAGTAGTAGTAGTAGTAGTAGTAGTAGTAGTAGTAATAGTATTAAAAATTAATACTAATAGCAAAGTACCGGTAGTAGTAACAGTTATAATAGTAATAATAGTAATAGAAATAGTAGTAGTAGTAGTAATGGTAGTAGTAGTAGTAGTAGTAATAATAGTAATAGTTGTAGTAGTAGTCGTAGTCGTAGTAGTAATAGTAATGGTAATAGTAATAGTAATAGTAATAGTAATAGTAATAGTAATAGTAATGGTAATGGTAATGGTAATGGTAATAGTAATAGTAATAGTAATAGTAATAGTAATAGTAATAGTAATAATAATAATAATGATAATAGTAATAGTAATAGTAATAGTAATAGTAATAGTAATAGTAATAGTAATACTAATACTAATGGTAACATCATGGTCATGGTCATAGTCATCGTGATAATAATAATGAAAATAAGAGTAAGAGTAAAAGCAAAAGTAAGAGTAAGAGCAATAGCAGCAGCAGCCGCAACAGCACTAGGACTAGGACTAGGGCTAGGGCTAGAACTAGGACAAGTACTAGTAATGGTAATAGTAGTAATAGTAGTAATAGTAGTAATAGTAGTAATATTCGTAATAGTCGTAATGGTAGTAATAGTAGTAATAGTAGTAATAGTAGTAATAGTAGTAATAGTAGTAGTAATAGTAGTAGTAATAGTAAAAATAGTAGAAATAGTAGAAATAGTAGAAATGGTAAAAATAAAAGAACCGTCGTCGTCGCAAAATACTGGTGGTGTTGGTGGTGGTAAAACAAGGCGTCCTCGTCCGCAAAAGTGCTACCCGAATTGGAAGTGATGCAACTACTACTAGTGCCAGGAGTACCACGAGAACTACTAGTACCACTCGTACTACTAATATTAAAAATTGTTGTTGTCGCTAGTAGTAGTACTAGCAGTTCCAGTAGCAGTAGTAATGGTGGTGGTGGTGGTGGTGGTGGTGGTGGTGGTGGGGGTGGTCGTAGTAGTAGTCATCACCGGCGGCCTCACAACCTCTGAACAGGTCATCCTCTGGACCAATAGATTCAGAGCTCTAGGGAAGGTGCCGCGGATCTTCGCCCCGATTTTGAAAGTCGCCACCGAGAAGAGTGCCACATGGATGGACATCACTCAGGAGAAACTCACGGTCGAGGCAAATGGCCCGTTCACGCTCTCTATTGGGCAGGGCTACCGCTACACTGAGCTCAAGTCCACAACGGCGTAGTATGGCACAGTGCGCGCCTTGTTCCAGAAAATGTGGGACCATGAGGTGGTGGCATCCACCTTCAAAAGCATCTACGATCAGACCTCCAGGAAAAGTGGAGGCCAGAACCGCGCTATCTTCTACCAGCCTCGCGATGGACAGGTTGTCCGCAAGCTCCGGATCGAGCACAACAAGGGTGATACTGCCATATTCCAACGGCATCGCCAGAGAGAGCAGCGCGACAAACGCTCGGGTGAAGAGCCATATGCTCACACCGACAAACGTCACCACGATGGTGAAGCCTGGACGCGTGGCGGCTGGTGGAATCGCGGCTCTGGCTCTAGCGGCAGCCATTCCTGGCACCAGTGAGCATGCCTAGGAAACAACAGGTGCCAATGGCAATGCTAAGAGATAGCTGTGGAGGCAATGCCTGACTGTTTTTCTTCGACTTGTCACACACTCTCTTCCAAGGCAGACTGGTGACCATTCTGCATGGAGCCGTCGCTGTCAGTCCGGAAAACAAATCAGAGCCAATGGTCATTGCTGCAGCTAACTGCATTGCCCAGATGACGGCCTTTCACGAGCATCATACACTGTCTCGCTCTTCAGGTACAACCGACAGACTGGCGCCCGGCATCAGGTTGACTGCAGTCAGACTTGAAGCTGATCCCTGCCAATCAGCAAATAGCCACGTAGTAGTACTAATAGTAATAGTAGTGGCAGTAGTAGTAGTAGTAATAGTAGTGGTAGTAGTAGTAGTAGCAGTAGTCGTAGTCGTAGTCGTAGTCGTAGTAGTAGTAGTAGTAGCAGTAGTAGTAGTGGTGGTGGTGGTGGTGGTGGTAGTCGTCGTCGTCGTAGTAGTAGTAGTAGTCGTCGTCGTCGTAGTCGTAGTAGTAATAATAATAATAGCAACAAAAAAAGAGTAACAGTGGAAAAGGTTTTGTGGTAGTATGGTGTTGTAGTAAATGTGGTCGTCGTAGTAGAAATCGCACTACGTCTAAACTCACCACCAGGGCAAGGAGGAAACGGAACAGGACGAGGAAGTGGTACTAGTAATACAAGTCATCGTAATAGTAGTAGCAGCAATAGCAGGAGCAGTACCAGGAGCATGAGCAGGAGCAGTAGTGGTTACAGTAGTAGCAGCAGAAGTCAGTAGTAGTAGTAAAAGTAGAAAAAGAAGTAGAGTAGAAGTAGAAGTAGAAGTAGAAGTAGAAGTAGTAGTAGTAGTAGTAGTCGTCGTGGTAGTAGTAGTAGTAGTGGTAGTGGTAGTGGTAGTGGTAACAAAAATGATAATTAGTCGTAGTGGTCGTCGTTGTAGTCGCAGCCGCCGTCGCGGTAATTGTGGCGTAGTCGTGCTAATATTGGAGGATAATAAACTTTCTGGCATGTCCAATGTTGACGGCGACTCCCCGCTGCTGAGCGACGTCCTCTCGCACCGCCGTTATCTGGCCTCTGCATGCCGCATTGCCTATGTACATGTCGCGCGCACGCGCAGTCTGGGTCTTGGGTTTACACTGGGACCGGTATTAAACATAGCTTTGGTAAAGGCGTGCGGCGAGGACCTATATGGATACATCACGGTTCACCACAGCAGGATGCCGCACGTATGTCACCAAGCATCGCCAGATACCAAACAAACCCTTCGTCAGACACCAAGCATCCCGCGTTGTGTTGTGCCACCCGAGAGATCTCCGCAGTCAGTCCGCAAGGAGTCGTGAACTGTGGTGGAGCTTGTCCATCGCTGAAACGTGCACCAGATATACACGGGTAGCAGTTCCATCAACAGCGTCGAGGAATATCGAGGAGACACACATGCAATTGCCTCGGACAAAGACCAGCTCCGCAGCAGAGCTTCGCTCATAGAGTCGGCGAAATCCTGCATCACTTGGCCGTTCTCCCCCCCAATCTCGGTGCCGGCCATGTTACGGCAAGTTACTGCTATGCACCGAGAGACCGCGCCGATACTGAAGGGGTCGGGCAGCTCGCCCGGCGGGAGCACGAGGGAGCCGCACGACAAGGAGATCAGGACGGCATGGCGAATCAATCACAAGAGTTCCATGCATTTTCATGCGCAGCGCCGAAGAACGGCGGCAGAGAAGACTGGTTGCGAACGCAGGACCGGCGGAATTAAACGAATGGAGTGGGATCGACATTGGGCTATAGGAAGCGGACAACAGAATTGTTTCAGGGCACCACCTACCGTCGTTGCAAATGCCACAGACGATCATGCAGCAGTGGCCATGCACCGCTTGAGGTGAAGGGCGAAAGCAACGTGGTGTCGCCGGCGATTCGTGCTTCTTGATGGGAAAAAGGCGTCATTGAAGTCTTGCACCAACATGTTGGTCGAAGCGTTCACGTGGTGCACTTCGGGCTCGCAAGACAAAACTCGCAAGTGCAACGGTGCGAGTTCGGGGTAAGTGGGCCTGCCAGCGAGGCTTAGGCTCCTGCTCAACGCATTGCAACATATCGAATAACATGCACCGTCTGTTCTCCGCAACCACCCTTCGAACCGACAGCTGCAGATGTCCAGCAGTTCGGCCACGCACTTGGCTGGCCATTGCGGCCAGGGCTGTTGGTGAGTTGCGACACTGCCTTGGTGCCTCGCGAGATGCGGGTGCATAGCATTTTGGCGTGCGATTTCGGCGTGTTCGGTCGACACAAGTAGCGCAAATTGACTGTCTGGTTCTTAGTACGGAATAGGGGAATGGGTTATTGGGACTATTATAAGGATCCATTCCTCCATTCCCTACTAGGCGTTTTCGGCTTTGAACCCTAAACCCCTGAACCCGAAACCCCTAGACCCTAAACCCCTAAACCGTTTCGACACGGGCGACGGAATCGGAGCGAACACATGGAATCTGCGTTTTGGCTCTACAGGCGGTGCCCAGAGACTCCAATATCCCTTGATTACGGAATATAGGATTAGGGTTTAGGGTTTAGGGTTTAGGGTTTATATATCTTAACCCCGAAGAACCTACATTTAAGGACTTGTATAAAGAAATTCAGGGTTAAGGTATACCGTATACCTTATAAGTCATACTAGGGAACCTACTATGATTTTGAAGTAGATTCCGTCATAATCAAAGGATGCTGGAGTCTCTGGGCGTGAGGTATCTGGATTTAGGGTCGCCGTCGTCATGTCAACGGTGCGGTGATCCTGACCGGCACATGTGGAGGCAGTGCCGTTTCGCACTCTGCTTGCCTCAACATCCAATATATGATTTGCATATATATATATATGCCCTAAACCCTAATCCCAAAACCCTAAGCCTTAAACCCTAAACCCTATACTAGGAGCTACTAGAAGCAAATAGAAACAGTTTAGCATCGGCGACACATCGGATCGTGTATTGGTCTTTGTACCTGGGGGTTCATGGGACTTAGTAAGTACAGTTATAAGTACTCTAACTAGGGATATATCCAATTATGAGTATAGTATCCTTTCTTATAACCATAGTTTCTAAGTCCCATGAACCTTTAAGTACCAAGCTTGTAAGATGTACAGTGCTGGCGCGAGTCACGAGCATTGTCCTTCAACACACAGCTTCGTCTTTCATTTAAGGTTCAGGGTCTTTAAAAGAGAACACCGAGATTTTGAGGAGATCAATCATCTCCGCACCCTTCTGCCATTCAGGACAACGAATTCATGATGCTCCGAATCGGATGCAGCGTCCATAGTCGGAGACGGAACCTATTCCTCGCGATGTTCCTGCAACCTAAGTCCCGAAACCCCGAAGCTAAAGACGCCCTTGCCGCGCGATTTTTTGGGCAGCATGCCACTGGCTTGCAAGAGTGCGCCCAGCTCACTGGCCGACTCTTCGTCCATGTACTGGCCAGCGAGGCGTCTCCTAGGCATACGGAGTTCTGTGTAGTAGAAACCCAAACCCTGAACTGTGGGAACAGTCTGACCCTAATGCCTTTCGTGTAAAGCATATATATATATATAAAGGGGATTCCAGAATTCTTCGTGGGGTTCGCCGCAATGCCTTGTAAGAGTTCTTGCAGCAAGGCTCTTTGAGGGGTCTTTGTCTGTTGATTACTGGGGGTGGCCGAAGGGCTCTATAAAACCGTAGCATGTTCAGATGTTTTGGGGTGGTTGGTGGTTCCACAGGTCTAGAGGAATTTGGCGGGCTCATGTACTTGACATGTCCTTGCCGGTTTGGAGACTGGCTGTCGGAGCTTGAACTGCCGATGCTTCGGAAGTCGTTGGGATCTTCTTGACAAGAAATAAGCAAGCAACAACAAGTGCATGCCTCCGCCTGCACTCATGTTCCATCTCGGCACCTGACACAATCTCGCCCTCCGTGTTGCCGTTGATGATACCAACACGGTCTTGCAAGTCCTGTGCTTGGTGTATAATCCTCATCCAACTGAAAGTTAATCATAGCATATAGTAGCCACAAGCATGGTCAAAACAATCATCACGGCAGCACTAGCAGTACTCATAACACTTGTCATACGGGTAAAGAGACGCAGCAGCATTTGACGGAAAGCGCAAACACAGCCAACGATCTCGTTTCTACATCTTGAGCAGCAGCTCTCTTGGAAAAGATACATCGCAAACACAACTTTCCCACACATGATGTTGGGTTGATTGACTTGTGCTTTGGGCAACCTCATCCTATGCTTTGGGCAACAGCATCCAGGACATCGCTCGACTCTGTAATTCCTGTTCGGCGGCAAGTACTGGGTTGGCCGTTAAAACACCCTGGAAAATATTTATATATTATATAGGGTCCCTTATAAACCCAAACAAGGAAATAAAAAGTGTCCCACAATCCAACCTAGAATATTACCCGTTTTTCCTAGGCTCGGCCTGTGGACTGGCTCATCTGCATCCCGTCTGTCCCCAAACTCTGCAGAGTGTCCCAAGCCAAGGTTTAACATCTTGAGAAGCCCGAAAGTCGAATCACTCATCCCTGCTTTCCGATGAAAAGCACTTGAATTCCTTTGCGAGATCCTCTCTTAGTCCTTGCATTCTGGGGACCGGATGAAAATTGAGTGCTCCAGCCGTGTATGGTCAGCAGACGCTACCCCCTGCAAAGCCAATCTACAGACTTCTGTCAGCAGTGTTGTGGAGCCTTGAACAAACAACGTGCTAGAGTTCGGCAGGCAAGTCGCCGACTCCGATCCAAATTGAGGATGCTGGGTCTGTTGTGCCCTCCATGAGACCTTCGATGGGCTGCGAATGAGCCGAAGGCCACAGGGTGCTCATGTTGGATACGAAAACATGAACTTGTGATGCAATGCTCTGAATCGCGTGATGTGCTGCCCCCTGACCGACCCCAAAGTCGCCAACCTAAAATAGGGGCCTTAATGATACTATGACTATAATATGTGTAATAAAGAACCACCAAAATAATATAGGTAATATAGGGGCCCAAATAATTAGATAAGGTTTTGGGGCCCACAAAATAGCAAAAATTAGAGCACTGGAACCTTCTCTACAAGTTTTGTGTTCAGCCACCGTTCCACGTATGGCAACCTTATCGTCTCCGAATGCTTTGCTGAGCTGCCGCCACATCGAGGCCGCGCAGGTGGGAGTGTGCCTGGCAAGAATAAGAAAGCTTGCTGGTGCAGGATGTGGAACTCATAAGACCCAAACCCCAGGAAGCAATGCTGTTTAAAAGCATTGGCAACCTGTGCAGAAGTGCTCTTGCGGTATGGCTCATGATGATGATGCCGTTGATGATGATGGTGATGATTTCGATGATGATGATAATGATGATGATACATGCATGCATGTATGTAGATAAGAACGCATTTATTTATCTATCTATGTACTGGTTAGCTCGTTGCTTTATTGAACATTTGTGCATGTATCTGTGCGTAGGAACGGAAGATGGATGGGGCAGGCGGCCGGATTGATGGATAGCAAGAATAGGCAGATATACAGATAATAGTCCCGATATCCCTATAGACTAGATCCCGTCTAAATCTGCTCATAAGCCCCCAACTCCTATGCAGGACCTTGAGCTGTAGCATCGGGGACGTCATGAAAACGCATGAAAGCATCGGCGTAGCACCCTCGGTTTAGACGGTCTACGGATTAAGGCTCAGGGATTTAGGGGAGGGGCTTACGGCTTAGGGTTCAGGGTTTAGGGTTAGAGGATCTGCAAACTCAAGCCGAAAATGATGTGTGCCGTAGTGCAGCCGAACTTGCTCTCTTCACTTTGGATCTTGGAGGCCAAAGAGTTTTGCAGAAGAGCATTTAGGGTTTAGGGTTACGGCCTGGGTGAAGGGTATGGCGGATAAGATGCCCATAATCACAAGCAGCTTCACTTGATCCGTCTGTAGATACTCTAGGGGCCTAAACGATTACCAATACTATTTGGGGTTCCTTATTTCATTATGGTAGAACGGGCCCCAAAACCCTATTCATATTATTATTAAAGCCCCTATATTATCAGAAGAGAACATGGCAAGCCAGGTCGACCACTGCGAAGGCCACGCCGGCCGGTGGATCGTCCATTGTAGCCTCCAACGAAGACTGCTGAGCTTCGGGGTCTAGGCTGCATACTATGAAGTTTCCCAGGCTAACAGCTAGACACGACTTACTACCGGTAAGTCAACCCTGTGGGCCTTTTTCCATGGGGACTCGAGCCAAGCGGTGCGTCGCGTAAAGGAATAGCTAAGGACCATAAGAATAGTAAATAGTACTGGAGGCAGGGTAAAATCTACACCCCCTTCGCCGTGCTGCTCCAGCTAAGGCGTACAAGTACACTGGCTTCTACTGCGAGGGGTGTGAGGAGCATCAGAGGGAGCGGGAGCACCAAACTTGGCGCCATGGGCCTTGGCGATAGCCGTTCTGTTCTTACGGGTCCTATCCCTAGCCAAAAGCTCCTTAACACACTTGACAAGGTAGTCATACGTGTGTTGATCCGTCCCTTATTTTGCCCTGTCATAAACCTCCAGTTCGAACTTGAGCTTGCTTGAGTTGCGAAGCAGGCGGAGAAGGATGTCTCTCAAGGTTGTTTCCTCCGGTTGGTGGTTCAAACCAGCAATAACCGATTCCCAGTTGTGGATAAAGGTACTGAGGTCATCCCCGCTCAGCTGGACCTTGAGGAGGTCTTCTACGGAGTAGAGTGATCCGGCTTCTGCGTTCGTTTTGAAGTAGTGCTCGAACATGAGCAGGACTTGTCTACCTCGAACCGCTCTACCAGCAGAAGCTTCCGACTCCTTGTAGCTGATAATCTGACGGCCTAAATCCCCCCTGGCAACTCGCGAAAGTGCTGACAGGATCTTCGTATCCAACGTGAGGAATTTGCCAGTATCCCTCAACCGCTCAATTGTTTTCCTGCAGTAGTTGTAGGAAATACCGATTGGCCTCCGCTTCTGTTCTCTGACCATCCGAGTTGCCCGTGGCCGCGATAAACGGCACAATGTCCATTGTCAAAGCAACCTACGGCTGATAACCTGAAGTTTCCCAGGCTAACAGCTAGACACGACTTACTACCGGTAAGTCAACCCTGTGGGCCTTTTTCCATGGGGACTCGAGCCAAGCGGTGCGTCGCGTAAAGGAAAAGCTAAGGACCATAAGAATAGTACTGGAGGCAGGGTAAAATCTACATACTATAGTGGCCTTATAATTATTAGAATAATAGGGTTTTGGGGCCTGTTATACGATGATAAAATTATTATGAATCATAATCAGGAACACCGAAAACAGTATTCTGATTCTGATTTTGATTCTGAGAGGCTTGTCGAGTCCATAGGGACGCAGCCCAAAATTTGCACCGCCCAATTGGCATGCACCTAATTAAAAGCACAAACCCCCGCGGTCGCTGTATGTACTCGAGCCTACTTATTAGGACCCGGAACAGAAATCAGCGGAACGGCGGGGTGAGGGCAGGGAGCTGCAGAGTGATGTAACAGGCGGCACCACGACCGAAAAGCCTTCCACTGTGCAGCTGGTCCTGCTTTCAAAGACAAAAGCACTGCAGCAGCGAAGTTTACCCTCACGCTGAGTGCCAAAACTGACGGACAGTAGCGCGGACGACAAACGCTTAAGTGTCCACAGTGTCCCTCGCAATGTAGCCATTCACCTAGCAGGCACATTGCCCTGCAAGTTCGCGTGTAGACAGGGTGAACTTGCCGCGATCAAAGACGAGACTGATAGCATCCGCCATGGGGGTTTTGTAGCGCACTTTTGCATGGCCAACCTCCCGCAAGTGAGCCCTCACGTCATGGCTCTTGTTCACACTGTCCACTGCAGAAGCCTCACCATCTAAACGCATACCACCAGCATCAAACCAGTAGCACTCAGGATTGTCATCAACGTCCGCAACGAAGTCGGCGAAAAACCGCTTGACCTGTCCTGTCACACCGATGCAGGCCCCCACGGCCTCAATGCTCTCCTGAATGCAACTGGTCGTCTGGTGGCGTGCCTCAAGGGCGGCTGCTGGCTCGAAACCGACCATTGAACAGCTGGGTCTGCCAGCACCAGTCTCACTGCAGCTTGTGAAGAAGCCAGAGTCGTTACCACCTATCATCCTGTTCGCAGGCATCTTTCCATCAGGTTGGATGTCGTGCTTGAAACAGAAGAACTCCCAGCAATCACAGCCAAGGTGTTTGCAGCATGTATTCCCAAGGACAGGGCGATCATGCCACTGACCATCACCTTGCAGGTCACTTAACTCAGAAAAGAGGCATCGGCCACGATCGGCCACATGCAAGCCAAAAGGAATCGGCTCCCAATCTCCAGCACACAGGATCGGCTTGGTCTGCTGCAATGACAGCTCCGCCAATCGTCTGATTTCCAGCTTCCGGTCTTGCAGGCCAGATCCTAACTTCCACTCCAGGTGCAAGCGGAGAGCCTTCAACGAGACAGCACCAAACGGCAGGAGCACGGATAACGCAAAAGAGATCTGCCCTCGTAGCGTAGCCTGCATGATAAGATCTCCGTCTGTCGGCTCGGGCGTGCCCTTTCCCATGGCATGGGCAATCAAACTGGGCACTGGGGCCATCGACGATCCAGCGCTGATGCTGGTATTTCGGGCCTGAAAACAGTATTGGAAATTATTTAGGCCCCTATAGTAGGAGTTAGAGGAGTTTTGGGGTTAAGGCTTCAGGGTTAGGGCGAGTTTACGGGTGTAAGGCAAGACCTGCGAATGCTATGGTGTGTACCTCTGTTCTTGACGGTCGCGTGGCCAGATGCTTTCATTGATGACAGCATTTCTGAACTTTACGCATAGTCTCATGTGCAGTTCCTTCTCTGCTTTAACCGATGACAAATTTTGCAGCCTTCTCAAAGTAGCACGCCGAAACGGAACTACACTGCGGAGCTCCAGAGTTGAGACATCGTTTTTCCGGGCCTTTTTGCAGTCCTGCGATTTCGTGTCACAGGGTTTAGGGTTTAACTGTCGCCCGATCTTGTGGGGACTCCAGTCCCTAGACCTCCCTAAACCATCCTAAACCCTGAACCCCTAAACCCTAAACCTTAAACCCTAAACCCTCAGCCCTAAACCCTAAACCCTAAACCCCTAAACCCTAAACCCGAAACCCTAAACCTTAAACCTTAAACCCTAAACCCTCAACCCTGAACCTTAAACCCTAAACCCTAAACCTTAAACCCTAAACCCTCAACCCTAAACCTTGAACCCTAAACCCCTGAAACCCTAAACCCTAAACCCCCGGTCTCCTGACCCCCTTCTGCCTGAATATCTGCCACCACGGCAAAAGGCAACGCTCGAGTCCGTACCTCGACAGGTGCGCCTTTCGATGTTCCATAGGGTATACCCATATAGGCCCCATAATAGTTCCTTTTTGGGGTTCTTATTTAGAATCCATCCCAAAAAGGGAGCTACTATGGGGCCCATGGCTAGGGTTTGGGAGTGTAGAGCTTAGGGTTCACGCTTGTCCTTCTGCCAAGACCTGTAAAGGCAATCCCTCATGTAAATGAGCCCCGCAGCATGCCCGAAACCCTATACGACCTCACCTAAACCCTAAACCCTATATGGCCATACCCTAAACCCTGAACCCAAAGCCCTATACGGCCCTATACCCCAGACATCCCCAGACTCATACAACGAGCCCCACCACTGCCCGGACTTGTGGCTTTGCGGGAGGCTGAGGCGCGCAAGGCTCAAAGTGTGCTTTTATCCACCTTACCTCACGGAGAACCAAACACGAAACTACGGCCAAATACACTCCTGTTTGTCCGACTTGTCTATAAAGAGGAAACTTGGTTGAAAGTATTGTGCTTCTGCTCATAACAAAATCCCGAACCCAAAGCCCTTCGATTGTGTGCGGAGCCCTGAGAGATCAGAAACCAAGAGGCTTTCAGGGGAAAGCGGCTGGATGCAAAGGCCTGGCGATGGGTTCTCGTTGTTAAGGCTGATGTATAGAGTTCAGCGTTTTGTTAAAGGGTTTACGGCTTTATAGTGATAAATACCTGGGTTTAGGTTGTGGGGTTTCGGGCTTAGGGCGATTGCCGGGACAGGCTTGCTGAGTATGAGTGTGTCCAGGTCTAGGATGTAGCGTCTTGTTGGTCCTCAGGGGTCCGTCCGCAGGGGCCACTCGCATGAACCGCTCAAGCCAGAAAACAAAAGCAAACCCAATACAACCCCTATCACAACATATCACAACCCTTATGAGTACCAACAAGAAACAACTTCTGGCAGGCCAAGATTCAGGGTTTACCTTCTCTAAAAATCCAGCCGACGACGTCAACCTGACTCAACCCTGCAGATGGGGTCCCCCAACCTTGCGCCCCAAACCATGGTCCTTCAGACCTGTTGAGGGGCCCAGGTTCCCTTCCCCCTTAAACCCCCTAAGCCCTAAACAGACACAGGCTGAATTAAATCAAATGCCTTAATAATTACTTCCTCATTAAATTATATTTACAGTATAATGAGCCCCTTTAAATGCCTTAACAATTAGTTCCTCATTATTATACTTAGAGTATCATGAGCCCCTTTAAACGGTGCCGGGAAGGCGTGGTACAGCTCATACTCCGACGCACGCCCATCGCAAGCCCGGGCCTCGCCACACATGGTAGCATACCACATGCGCAGTTAAAGGATCATGGGAACTTAGTAAGTAGGGTTATAAGTAAAGTAACTACAGTTAAGGGTTATAAGTAATTATAAGTTATAATACTTATAACCCCAATTAGGATACTTATAACCCTACTTACTAAGTCCCATGATCCTCCAAGTAGTTCTGTAAGCTGGGGTCCCCTGTGGATCCAAAAACCTACCGTTTTAAGGGTTCTACCTTCTTATCGAGGGGTCATAACCTACTGTTTTGTAGGGCTTGGGGTCACAGGCCCATTTTAGGGTCCTTTTTATGAGGCTGGGTGTTCGAACACACATCGTTTCAACCATAATTCAAGTGGGAAAAGAAACCCCGAACAAGCGATAGCGCTGATCCCAAATGAGCCCCGGTGACAAGTAAACCGAAAATAAAAGTAAGCGTTCTCATCCCGAAAGTAAGCGGGTAGCGCAGCATCGAAAAAGTACACGTTCGAACCTACTGGGGGTGCCGTACTATGTGGGGGACCCAAGAAGGGACCCTAGTCGCATGCACACGCAAGCCAATGACTAAACATATACAACCTATGTACGCTTAACTATCTGTCTCTCTCTCTCTCTCTCTCTCTCACTCCGACATATATGCGAAGACAGAGTGCGAGAGAGAGAGAGAGAGAGAGAGAGAGAGAGAGAGAGAGAGAGCGAGAGAGAGAGAGAGAGAGAGGCCAAGAAAGACAGAAACAAACAAAGAAAGACAGACAGAAAGAAAGAACAAAAGAGAGTTTGATTGGCTTCAAATTGTATTCGATTCTAGCTACTGTTCTGCATAAACAAATGTCGTAGTGAATAAGAATCGGTAAAGGCTTTGGATGCGAGCATCCTTGCCGAAGCATGTCGGAGCACTACCTCAGTAAATTCTACGCCAACCCCCATGTTCCTGGGATTTCGCATACACATTGCCTATTCCCGATACGGCCCTGTATACCCTCAAACATAAACAAACCCTGTCAAACTCCAAACCCTGAACCCTTGTCATCCCCGTGAGCAATGTTTCTCTTTGGGAGGACTGAGGGATAAGACTTCTCGGACAGCATGCTCAGTGCTCCTGCTCAGTGCTCCTGCGGCTGCGAGCGCCATGCTGCGAGACGGGCGAGCAGGCCCCGGCACGAAGGCCGGGAGGCTGCAGAAGCAAACTCCCACGGCCAGGATCGAAATCACGATCCCAAGCCTTCGCCATAGCTTGCCATCTGTGGTCCCTCAATCTGCTCTCTGAATGCCTCTGATCTGGAGCCTAAATTTAAAAGCCTATAATAAAGCCAATGCAGCCCATTGGCCTCAGCAGCAAGGCTGAAAGCAGGTGCCCTTCTCCCCGCATCCATCTCCCGACTGTCCGCGCTGCATAAAAGCCGCGGCCAAAAGGAACCGAAGAGAGTCAACTGAAGATGGACAATGACTTTTGCTCGCCAGCACAAGCATCGGGCGGAAACCATCTTCCAGGAGTGACAGGGTCAAAAATGTATATAGATCGGTAGCTGGCGGCCATAACAACATCTCAGCAGCATGGCTCCGCCCAAGTGCACCGTCGATATTTTCCGTGGAGACCACGGTATCGAAGATGTCCTTGGAGTACTCAGACACCTGCTGAGGGTCTTCCTCTTCTTCCATAGCAACATCCATGCAGTCGCCGGACACTGGAATGACAAAGCGCGAGTTCTCTCTCACCCAGGCCATCGTCACGCTGCCAAGCCCAAGTGCTAGCGGATAGGATAGGCAAAACGTTGCCTGCAAACATCGGTTTGTCAGCTTTCATTCCAAAGCCTGGGCTGTGCTTTTGTACTCTCTCCGGGGACTGCGTTGGCGTTGGGGCGCCGGAGAGGTTGCTGGACTGGCGGTGGCCCCGGGAAACTCACAATCGTGCGCTGCATCCAGGCGGGCCACTGCGAGGGCACAAATACAGTGTGTGAGCTGGCTTGTGGATGTTAGTTCATGTCAAGTTGAGCTGCAGTCTTTAAGCTGGGAGCTGATGCGAAGGAGCCAGCTCCTGGCTTGCGCTCCGCACGTCTGCCTGGGAACTGAATCTGGGAATCAAGAGACCTCTCTGATGGTCGCAGCAGGATCATCTGTTCTAGCCGCGTTGATTTCCCCAACTTCTCATCCCAGAACTGGTCGCCGTAAGGCCGTACTTAAAGGTTCACGGGACTTATAACTATACGTATAATTGGATATAACCCCAATTAGGGTACTTATAACTGTACTTACTAAGCCGCATGAACCCCCAAGTAAGGGTCATTCGAGTTCATAGCAGGACAGACGGCACGGCACTGTGTCACTTGGTGGGCCTTGAGAGCTTGCTGGATGGGTAGTTGTCAAAACTATGGCCCCTTTGGGGTTTAGGGTTTAGGGGTTTAGGGTTTAGGGTTTCTACATATTAGGTGCCGCATTATAGTAAGGAACCCAAAAGGGGCCCTAATTTGGACAACCGCCCGGATGATAAACCCGCCAGACACGAGCCATGCCAGGGTTGAACCACTTCTTCATGAATGCCGGCCACGTCGCCTCACGCTGGGGATCAAAATAGCCGAAAAGCCTTAAAAGGTATGGTCTTTGGGCCCCAAAGCCGATAATATATATGAGCCCTTAAATCCCTGGGGTGCCTTAAAAGGTATGGTCTTTGGGCCCAAAAGCCTTAAGATATGGGTCCTTAGAAGGGTCATGAGTCATGCCTTATCTCGGACACTGCATCCCTTAGGAGGCTCCTGGTATCCAAGACTTACGTATGCTGCTTACGGGGTTCCACTGAGGGAGCCAAGCTGCGGATCTCCCAAACCATTTCGTGGGATTCACGCGGGCTTCAAGCAGAGCCTTCTTCGAGCATGCTTCAGCATGTCGGCAAAAAGATCATTGTAGGTGGCAGCACTTTCTATCCAGCAAAGCATCGCCCGCTCGGTCCAGCTCTGCCGAACTTGGATACCTCAAAGATGAAGTGCGTCCCGGATGGCTTCAAAAGCTGATTTCACCTCGGCACGGAGAGAACGAGAGCTGATGCAGGAAGCTTGGGCTGGTAAGTACGTCCAAAGCCCGGGCAAATGACAGCACACAGCAGAACCCTAACTCAGTGGCCTACCTGCAATCGCTATCGAGATCCATCCCCAGTCATGACGTTTGAGACAATTTACGAAGTGAAGGGGCCTCCTGAAAGCGTCGTGTGGCCGCCTCCGCATCATCCGGATGTTTGTCAGGATGGCATCTCGGAGCCGCTAGGAAGTCGATTTAAAGTGCTTCTGTTTTCAATCTGTCGGGGCTTCAAGGTCCCTTCTCGAGGGTCTTGTTCGGCTCTACAACCCTAAACTCCACACTCCAACAGGCCGTTCCCCAAAGAGCCCAATACCCCTTCATTAAGCAATATACCTTAAATTATAAGGGGCTTCATATTATGATTTAAGCTATATTCCTTAATTAAGGGGTATTGGGCTCTCTGGGTCTAGGAGCCTGAAATGGTTTCGTACCATTGTTTGGTGCCTCCACCCCGGAAGCCTCAAAGGACCCCAAGACAGGGCCCGGAAGCCCTGTTCAGAGCGAGGCCGCCAACGACGGGTTTAGGGTTTACGGTTTAAAGGGTTTAGGGTTTAGGGTTAAGGGTTTAGGGTTTTGGGTTTAGGGTTTAGGGACCGGAACCCCGAAAGCCTCAAGCCTCTAGACTAAAGCCAGAAACCCATAAACTAAATCCGAAACTGTACAGCCTAAACCCTAAACCTCGAAGCGCGATACCTTAAGTACTGCCCCCTCTACAGTAAGAGTGTATAATAGGGCTACTATTAAGGTCCTAATATAGACTTATTATGAATATTATTCGACTATTACTGAGTGGGGGCTGTACCCAATTGATATCCCTAAACCAAATCCGGCTCCCCACATCCAACAGTCCTTTCATAAGAGGGTTTAGGGTTTAGGGTTTTGGGATGAAGCTCAGCGAACACCTGGCAATTATCTGCAGCATTCCCGAGGCTCTTCAGTGCACTCTAGTTAGGTCCGATAGGGTTCCTTTTATATCTATGAAACTGCAATCAAATAGGATAATAGGGGCCTGAAGAATTAGACTACGGCTGCTTTGAAGCTTCTTTCCAGGGTTCTACAAGGGCTCTATGATGAGAATCGGGTTTTGGGTGGAGTATAGTAGAACTGCAAGGGGATTGAAAGGGGACACTAAAACTATAAGTAATGCCTGAACCCTGAATAACCTACCTTTTCAGGGCTCCATACTATGATTTCTTTATATAAGTCCTTAAAACCGTAGGTCCTTCGCGGTTCAGGTATAGGGTTTAGGCGAGCCCTGAATTTCAAGAGCTCCATGCTGCCAAGAGTCTCCAAGGCCAACAACCGGTACTGCCGCCTCAGTGGGGCTTCTGGTTCTCGGGTTTTGGGATTAAGGTTTTTTTTTGAACGCCTTTCTCCGCCTAGCAGTTAAGGGGATTTGGGATTAAGGTTTGGGGTTTAGGGGTTTTCGGGTTAGGGTTCAGGGTTCATGATAGGGTTTAGGGTTCAGGGGTATTCGGGTTAAGGGGCTTCGAGGCTCGAGGTTTTCAGGTTTCGAGGTTTCGCTCTGTGCTGTGATACCTGTCGGCGCCTTAATAATTAGAATAGGGCTTTAGGGGCCCAGTATAACAAGGACCCCCCCAAAAAAAAGTATTTGTAAGTATTTAGGTCCCTATATTACCTGTCGGGGTCCTGTTTCACTGTTTACTGCTTGGAGGAAAGGTCCAAAGGTACCCGAGACGGAACAGCCCACCCAGTCTTTCAAGAGCCACACGAGGTTCAGGAATCAGTCGGGAATCATGGGGTGCCATCCTGGAAAAAATGATGTTTACTCAGGCTTCTATATTCGGACACATTTCGGATGAAAATTGGGGAATGTGAGGGACTGAAGGGCGCTTGCTTCCCAAGAGCTGCTGCTGAACCCATGAGCATGAAAGGCTACTCTAACTCCAGGTCTGCACCTGCTGCTCGCAGCTTTTGTCATGTTTCCTGAAATTACAATGCGCACTTGCGCGTGGCAGCGGCACGGCGAGCACAAATGCACAAATGCAGAACGCATACGAACGACGGCAATTGTGGGCAATTGTGGCATTATGCGCGCCGCGGATCACCACAATTGTGCGCGTCTGCAACTCCTGCGCAACGTTCGTTGCAACGATGTGCTTGTGCTCCGCATCATCTTGGCAACAGTTATCGAAAAAAAGGTTTTAAGCGCAAGTGAAGACCCCATCCGCCCAAATTAAACTGAGATTCCGCAGTCGACAAGCACTGTGAAAAGGCACAATGGTTCACAATTGACATCAAATGAACCTTTTAAGGCTCATCATACCTTACGCCCACATGACACGCCCCCCCCATTAGCGACTCTCTGATGAAGATATAAGCCTAAACTCTACAAGTAAAAGAATCAAGACGAGGTGCAACTCGGGGCGCAATGAGGTTCCTTCGAGGTTCCTTGATAGGGTTCTATACCAAGGTTTCTGTAAGAGTTTGTAGAGTTTACTGAATAAAACCAACCGGGGCATGAAACCACAAACCCGACAGCAAGCCGAAGTGCAATACAAATACAGCCACAAGAAGACAGATGTGCGACGAGGGTCGTGAGTTCTGAGATTCTGGAGCACCAGATGCGACAGAAAACGAATCCCAGCAGCTTCCAGCATGCCGAGCCATGACAAAATGGAAGCTCGGAGCCTGGCCCAGAGCCTCCAAAACCCCTTAATTAAGGAATAGACCTTAAAATCATATTAGGGATCCTATTATAATTTAAGGTATATTCCTTAATTAAGGGGTTTTGGAGGCTCTGGGGGGTGTCACGAAACCCGAAAACCTGACATGCCTGGGCCAAGAAGATATGGGAGTTTCAGAAAGTAGGGGACCCTAGTATAGTACCCTAAATAGTAGGATCCTTCTTATAAGGACCCCAAAATAAGGTACCCTCCAATTTTCTGAAGCTCCCATATTGAAATATCCCGACACCCGCTTGTCACACCCTAAGCGTCTCTGAAGCAAAGCTGCTTGATCTGGTCCCTCGCAGTGGAGGGAGCAAGCTGGAGAACCTTTGGCACGGCTCAGCACAACCCATGTCATGACCTGCGCGGTCGTCAACAAAACACCATCATCGCAATAATCGCCAGTCATCCGCCGTAGTCGCATCACCTTCAACACTCTCAGCTTCTACGCCGTCATGCTCATCGCAGTTCTATCTCTGCTGTCGGCCGACACTGCTACTGGTAGTGTCTCTTTCACAGAAACCTTCTCCTCCTCCTGGTGCTACTGTCTCCGGCTGCTGTTGGCTGTTCATGCTGCTATATAACGACGAATACAACTACTCCAACTCCTACTGAAGCTGTATGTGGGAGTTTCCGAAAACAGGGGATCCTAATGTAGCACCCTAGGATCCTTATTTCAAGGACGCGTGCCCCGAATTTTCGGAAACCCCCACGTAGCACACGAAGAACCTTAGAGGAAGACCTGTATCCAAGGGCAAAAGGAGGGACCCTTAATAAGGACCCCGAGGTATATACCCTTATTATAGCTATTGTATACCCATTTTATAGCCCATTATAGGGTATACCGGTCCCCATTAAGGGTCCCTCCTTTTCCCCTAAACCCCCAAAAAGGGTCCCTCCTTTTTCCCCTTTGACTGTAGGTAGAACTCCTGGAATCATCCTCGAAGCCTTTACCAGGTGCTCGAACCCTTATGGGCTTCCTTTAAGGGGGTTTGGGGTTCCTTTAAGGGTTACCGGGTTCCGATCGGGGTCACTATATAAGGGGCACTATAAAAGGCTTCCTCTAAGGGTCGCGGCTCATATGGGAGTTTCCGAAAATTAGGGGTGCCTTATTTTAGGATCCCGATAGTAAGGAGATCCTAATAAATAGGCCTTTAAATAGGGTACTATATTAGTGTCCCCTATTTTCGGAAACTCCCATATCAAGATCTGTTCCACCAATCAATTATCGAGCGTTCGGAAAGCCTAAGGCCTTCAGCCACAGAAGTCTTGACAATTTCGTCGGTTACTCAAACCCAGACACCCTAAACTTGAATTCCCTGAAGCCAAATGGCCTGTAGCCCGAAACGTCCCTAAACGCTAAACCCGTAAACCCTAAGCAACCCGAAGAGGCCTCGAAATGGACAGCGAGCTCGGCAAAATCATCGGTCCGCCTCAGATGCCTAACGGAAGCCCTTCTAGAAACGTGGACTAGTGACCCTCTGCCCTGCAAAGAAGTCAGGTGTGCCAATGAAAGTCTGTCGCGGGTCTGCTAAAGGCCGTCCCATGTTTTGTGGGGGGAAGGGGGCGGTACAGTACACGTAAAGAGCAACACTGAGGGATAGTATGCCATAAAACAACCCCTGTAAATAATCCAAACCCCTGTGAACCCCTGTCAAACAGAAAGCCTTAGAACACCCTCGTACAAGCCTGTAATCTTAGGATGAAACCATGGGCCCCTAGTATGGGCCCGTAAGCCTGGGATCCTTATATACCAATACCATACTAGGGGCCCATACTTCTAACCTTAGATGTAAAGACTCGCAAAAAAACACCTGACCCCTATACATAGAACCCTATAATAGATCCCTTCAAGGAACCACTTAAAAGGGAACCCTTAGGTAATGGATACGGCCCCCCATGCTATACAACCCCTGCGCTTTCGTTCCGAGCAGCTGGGAGTTCGGTAGCTGGGCGGCCTGCGCTCGTGCGCTCTTAAACTCTTTCAGACACCCGGGGGCGATTTAGGGTTCTGGGGTTTTTAGGGTTTATAGGGCTTAGAAAGTTGAAGGTTTAGAGGGTTTACGGTTTAGGGGGTTTAGAGGGTTTATCGGGCTGAGGATTTTTAGGGTTTTGGGTTTAGAGGGTTTACCCAAACGCCCCAAAGTAGCCCCTTTTTGGGGTTCGTATATAGAATCTTATAAGGTAATCTCAAAAAGGAGCTACTTTGGAGCCTCTGGGTAGGGTTTAGAGGGTTTAGAGGGCTTCGAGGGTTTAGAGGCTTGCCCAGGAAGAGGCCCAAGCACAGGAAGCTAGCTTGAGATTTTAGGGTTTACCTTAACCCTGAATAACCTACCTTTTTAGGGCTCCTTATTATGATTTCTTTATATAAGTCCTTAGAAATGTAGGTTCTTCGGGATTAAGGTAGGGTTTAGGGGCCTTTCATGAGTGGAGGGTTTGTTTTTCTCATAGTGGGTAGGCTCTAATCTCTAATGGATCCGTTAGGGTTTCGGGCCTAGGGGGCTTCAGGGATTCAAAGCATTTCGGACCTTGGGTTTCGCCGCGACGCCGAGCTTCCCAACCCATTCCGGCTCCTCACGACAAGGAAACACCAAAACGGAGGACAGCTAACACAACAGAGTGCTTCGGCTGAGCTTGTTGATTTCGTGTGTTTTTTCGGGACCTTTTTGCAAAGGCAAGCACAGCTCAGGGTTATGAGCATATGATTGTTAAGACTTAAGTCAAGCTTGACACTTACGATCACTCCAGCAGCTAGATTCAAGTCCCTAAAGCCTAAACAACCCAGAGACTCCAATATATTAAGGAATATACTTTACATTATAGTAGGATGCCTAATATGATTTCAGGTATATTCCCTAACTAAGGGATATTGGAGCCTCTGGGAACAGCACTCTGGGTGGCCGGTTTGCACTCAAATGCAGAGGTGTAGCGCTCGGCAATGGCGGATATGAGCCGGGTGGGCCCCTCTTAGGTCCCCCCGAAGTACGGCACCTTGTCAAAAAGGACCCTACAAGGGACCCTAAGTTAGACAACTACCCATTCAGCGCTTTTCAAGAATCTCCGGCAATGCAGAAAGGTTCCAAGCGTAAGGTTTCTAGCCCCAAACCCAAAACCTGTACTGTAACACCCCTAAACAACGAAGACATCCAAACCCCCTACACCCCGAAAGCCCTGAAGCCCTAACTGCCAAAACCCTACCTTAACCCTGAATAGCCTACCTTTTCAGGGTTCCTTATTATGATTTTTTTTATATAAGTCCTTGAAAATGTAGGTTCTTCGGGATTAAGGTAAATGCTAAAACTCCGACAACCGTGGAACCCTAAAGCTCAAACCATGTCAGGATACGGAAGGAAACCCCAAACCCTAAACCCTGTACCCCAATGCCAATCCTTCCCCTCGTAGCTCTTCTCCAGGTCCCCCGTGTAGACGTAGCAAAGTCTCGGCTTGAGGGATTTTAGGGCTTCTGTCTTTTGGGTTTGGAATTGGACTTAGGGTCTTTAAAGTTTCGTGTTTAGGATTTGGGTTTTAGGATGTCGGGCTATTAGGCTTAGGGTTTATTGCTTGGGTTTGATTGGGTCCGTGTTTAGGGGTGTGGGGGAAGCTGCGAAGTTACCTTTCGGGGTCCCTATGTTTTAGGTAGCGGCTGTCATGTCATGTCATGACTCTTTAACTTGAGCTAGGCGTCTCATCGCTGTCCGAGAAACCAGCATCAGCAATGGATGTTTCGTCGTCCAGCAGCCCATCGCAAGACTTGATGTGAAATCCGGCGCCCGTCACAGCAGCACGAGCTCTGGCATCCGTCGGCTTTCCCACGATGATCCTACCTAGTTCATTGTTGGGATAGGATTAAAAGTACATTTTTATTCCTTATTGGGTTTAAGTACCCATAAAGATGTAAAATGTTACTCAACTATGACAAAGCTACGGGGGTCCGACAACCCGAAGATCAGGGCGATCCATTCCTTTGCATCTCGGACACTCGCAGTAGGACTGACGACGATCTCCCGCATTTCCCGCTCCTCTTCGGGCAGATTACTACGACTAATAGTATATTATAATTAACAGCCGTCCGCTTCGTAGACGATGGTATACTTTAGTACATTGTAGTGTATATGTGTATATATATATATGTATGTATATACGTTACAACCAGATGCAATCGGTAATGTTATGCCCGCCTCTTCCCGGGCACAGCCGATCTCCACCGGCTTTGCGACACGTAGAATCAGGGGCGGAGCCTCTTCCGGCCTCACTCGCCTGGGCTGTCAAAGCATGGACTGGGGTTCCCTTAAAAAGGGTTCCTTAAAGGGGTCTATAATATAATACGGCATCTATTACTATAATTGGTAGGTTAGTAGGGTTCTACATCATTAGGGACTTTAGTAATGGACTATATCGGTTCCTGCTTGGGTTTAGGGGTTTAGGGGTTTAGGGAAATTCTATCCTTCACAGAAGAAGAAGAAGATGTGGCGCTGAACCCGTACACACTGTATCATCCGTGAACCATCACAAGGTATAACAACAAATAAACAAAACACACAGAGGTTTAGGGTTGAATGGGGTCTGGATGCTGCAGCAAAGGCCCAGGGATGCCGAAGCCCGGGCCTTCCACCAAAAGCCATCCCGGCTTTTCCACCAAGCTGTCGAGCTCCACCCACTCTCCGCCTTTTGGCCCCGTCCAGGTGCGACCAGTGGTGAACATCACGGAGCCAACAGGTCGTGTCAGCTTTAGTGTTTTCGGGCCCGTAGGACTTGATCCCGGCCGCTTCACTATGCAGCGCTGCAGCACACGATACTCCACCACCTCGGTGGGCAGCGCGATCTGTGCCTGTTTCACGGGGCAGAGTGCCCTGGCTTCTGGATATCCCGTCTGGGAAAGGCTTGCAGTCGCCATCGCTGAGGCCAAGAACCGTCAAAACTACGACGGGAGCCGAGTCTGTCTGGCACTCTTCACACCTGCGACTTGGTGGAGCCACACGGCTCTGTGCACACTCCCCAATTCCCCATAGACTCGGGCAGGTAAAGCCTTATCAGACAGAGGTGTCCGATGTCTGGTCGGTGGATTCCCGTCCTCTTGGTGATGGCGGTGATGAAGAAGATGATGATAATCATTTAGCTCTTGCTCCCTTGAGGCAAAGACCCGTCAATTCTGAACAGACATCTTCTACCCAGAGACTCCGATATATCCCTTAGTTAAGGAATATGCCCAAAATTCTACTAGGATCCCTAATATGATTTAGGACCCCTTTAAAAGAAGCCCCATAGATCCCTAATATGATTTAGGATCCCTGAAAAAAGGAGCCCCGAAGATCCCTTAAACAACCCTAAACCCTAAACCCTTAAACTCCTAAACCCCTAAACCCTAAACCCCTAAACCCTAAACCCCAGCCCCATAGATCCCTTAAAGGAGCTCTGGGGCCCCGAAAGGCCCCCGGCCGCAGCCACGAACGCCTCCCAGAAAGCTTGGCCGGGGCAGACCTCCGCCACCTCAAAGGTTTAGGATTTAGGAATTTAGGGTTTGGGATTTTAGAAAGAGTTTAGGGTGAAAGGCTTCAGGATTTAGGATTTATGGTTTAGGGTTCAGGAAGTGATGCTCTGAAGGGTTTATAAGGGCCTATAGGGATTTAGTTTGGGGTTTAGGGGCCTTAGGGTTTAGAGGGTTAAGGTAGGGTTTAGGGATTTAGTTTGGGGTTTAGGGGCTTAGGGGCTTAGGGTTTACAGGGTTAAGGTTTTGGGGGTTTACGGATTTAGTTTGGGGTTTAGGGGCTTAGGGGCTTAGGGTTTACAGGGTTAAGGTTTTGGTGGTTTAGGGATTTAGTTTGGGGTTTAGGGGTTTAGGGGCTTAGGGTTTGCAGGGTTAAGGTTTTGGGGGTTTACGGATTTAGTTTGGGGTTTAGGGGCTTAGGGGCTTAGGGTTTACAGGGTTAAGGTTTTGGGGGTTTAGGGATTTAGTTTGGGGTTTAGAGGCTTAGGGGCTTAGGGTTTACAGGGTTAAGGTTTTGGGGGTTTACGGATTTAGTTTGGGGTTTAGGGGCTTAGGGGCTTAGGGTTTACAGGGTTAAGGTTTTGGTGGTTTAGGGATTTAGTTTGGGGTTTAGGGGTTTAGGGGCTTAGGGTTTGCAGGGTTAAGGTTTTGGGGGTTTACGGATTTAGTTTGGGGTTTAGGGGCTTAGGGGCTTAGGGTTTACAGGGTTAAGGTTTTGGGGGTTTAGGGATTTAGTTTGGGGTTTAGGGGCTTAGGGGCTTAGGGTTTACAGGGTTAAGGTTTTGGGGGTTTACGGATTTAGTTTGGGGTTTAGGGGCTTAGGGGCTTAGGGTTTACAGGGTTAAGGTTTTGGGGGTTTAGGGATTTAGTTTGGGGTTTAGGGGCTTAGGGGCTTAGGGTTTACAGGGTTAAGGTTTCGGGGTTTAGGGGTTTAGCTTGGGGTTTAGGGGTTTAGGGTTTACAGGGTTAAGGTTTCGGGGTTTAGGGATTTAGCTTGGGGTTTATGGGCTTAAGGGTTTAGGGGTTCAGGTTTAGGGGTTTAGGGATTAAGTTTGGGGTTTAGGGGCTTATTACAGGGTTTAGGGTTTAGGGATTTAGTTTGGGGTTTAGGGGCTTAACAGTTTAGGGTTTACAGGGTTTAGGGATTCAGTTTGGGGTTTAGGGGGCTTAGGGGTTTAGGGTCTGTAGGGTTTAGGGCTGTGGCTTGTGAATTTCTTTCGGGGTTTAGGGCTTGTGCGTTTATGGGTCTATAGGGGTCTAGGGCCTAGGGCTTGGGTTTAATTTCGGAATTCGGGGTTTAAGGGTTTAGGCGGTTTGGGAGGTTTAGGTTGAGAGAAAACTCGAGGGTCAGCTTTGATGACAGCTCAGAAGACTCAGCTTCGAGCCCCCTCGTGTTTGGATGAGACACTTATGACTTTATGCAGCACGCAAGCGAGCACTCATTCTCGGCATCTATCTCCAAGACCTCAAGCGGCTCTCAAGGTTTAGAGCATAGGCTATCAAAACTTAAATGGGATGTGAACCACAAGGACCTATCCTACGCGGACCGCCACCCCACTGCACCTCCTCAAAGAGCGCCCGCAGCACGGATGTGTCCAGCACACTATGGTGGCAAACTGCGGTCTGAGATCCAAGCCTCGCGGAGGATATGGGTGGTTGTCAAAGTTATGGTCCCTTTTTGGGCACCCTAAATATTAGGTGCCGTGCCGTATTAAAACAGGGACCCAAAAAGGGACCCTAGTTTTGACAACCACCCATATGTCGGAGGGATTACAGAGTAGTCTTAGGGTTCAGGTTAGGGTTTACGCTTACATGGTTTGGGGCTTAAGCTTCGAGGATTTCCGTGTACTTCTCACAACTTCTAAAACTACACAGGTCTTCAAGTTCCGAAACCCCGCTTGCTCGAAAGCCCCCGAACAACTTCAGAGGGTTTGGTGGTTCGGCTTAGGGTTTAGGGCCGAGGGCTTAAAATTAGGGTTTACGGCATTTTAAGGTTTACGGTTTAGTCACCCTGCCCGACGAGTTACCTCGACACTGCAAAACAGCAGTACACTGATACGACAATGCTCGCTCACCGGGTAGCTGATGGGCGTGCTCCTTGCTCGTGAATCCTGTGATGCGCATGCTCATGCCAATACAGGAACTATCAGAAAGTAAGGCCGGCATTTAAGCACCAAATCACAGGATCCTGTCCACCCTAAATATGTGTACTTAAACAAGGGACCCCTGTTAAAATTCAATTTAAAGCCCTAGACCCTAAACCGTGAACCCATTTGAGGTAAACCGTCACTTTTGCGCACCTTGGCTTCTGAAGACCAGGCAGCAAGGCAGCCGGAAAAGCATCGTAGCCTGAGCAGGTTTAGGGCATAGGGCTTTGGGTGCAAGGTTTAGGACTATATGCGCATATACATATATGAATATATATATATATATATATATATATATACATATATATATATATATATCTATATAATAGATAAATACATAGACAGACAGATAGATCTATGTGCATATATATACACACATGTGTATGTCTATGTTCTTCGCTCAACCAAAACCGACATGGTCTACGTACGGTCTGATGATTTTTGCATCCGCACACTGCCAAAAGCGAGGCCGGAACGGTGGAGGTCGACGGCGCTTCGAATCGGGGGGCACCCGTCTGAGTCAAACGTGCAGAGCAGGGACTCGGCCTTCGGTGTTTTATAAGGTTGATCTGGGATTGCTGCGGGTCTTGAATGGTGTCTGCAGGTAAGGGGGCATTGTAAATTTCTCAGGCATCTTTATATTCCGAGGTTTTGCGGTTTAGGACCTCTCGGGCTTCTTGAACTGGGTTTCTCGGTTCTCTAGGCTTCAGAACCTTTGGGTTTAAAGGTTTTGCTAAACCCATTTATACCTGGGTCTACCTTGAACTACCGATCCTGTTCTGTTGTTGTAGCGCCGCAAGGCCCGTCGTCATCAAAAGCAAGTTATGTTAGCTTTAACGTATGCATATGCCAAGAGAAGGTGCTGACATGTGCTGACTGTGCCGTGAATTCATGCCACAGGGCGACCCACAACCTTAACCTTAAACAATATAAACATTACGATTGCGAACGGACGATATGTGCTTTCCTTGTTTTTGTTTTAAAGCTTGGTTTTTCGAGGTTGCCTTTTTGCGCCACCAAAAGGTCGGACATGTTTACCACACTCACTCAAGGTTCAAAATCGCAATCTCCGTTGCCTTGACGCGTCATCAGTCTCTTCATCACATTATGAGTCGTTCACCCGAAAACCGAAAACCGTAAACTGACACAATGATTTCCTAAACACTATAAACACTTTACATTCGATAGAGTGATCACAAACCTTACAGCAATCAAAAACTTCGAAAAACAACCCAACCACCAAAACTTAAAACCATAAGAACCTAGACTTTGCACAACAAAACCCGAAACGCTCACAAACCCGGGAACCTGCGAATGCGGGCACAAGCCAGTCAACTCCAACCTTCAAACGGAAACCCCGAAGCTCTAAAGCCTCCGCTGCCTCGGGCGTGAAGAACGTCAGAGGCGAATCTTGAAGCAGCCAAACCTCAAAGATTCGCCAATCTAGGGGTTTTTGATTTAGAGGTTTTAAGGCTACAGGCATGTATAGGGTTTAGGATGGAACATTTAAGATTACTCGGGTTTAGGGTCCGGGATCTTGGGTATAAGGTCTATGGCTTTTGGTTCAAGATTCGGGGTTCGGAAAACTCTCCCAACGTTTTGACCTGGTCGCGAAAAACTCCCAAAAAGACATAGGCACATGCGAACCTTTTTCAGCAATAGATCCGTCAGGGCCAGCTCCGCCCACAGCATGGAAACGAGTCCGTTGCATAAACTCAATGGCTCGAAGAACCTGCCGAAACCTGCGCCGGAACCTGCCCCGGAACTTGCCCCGCAACGTACATCACCGGAACCTGCTTCGGAACCTCGCCGGAACCTGCCCGGAACCTCCCCGGAACCTGCCGTTCTCACACTCCAGAGGTGCTGCTTGATAGAGGCACAGACAAAGTCAAGCACAATGCACCAGCAGCCAGAGTCCAAGGACATGTCGCACCCCGCGGCTTGCAAAGCATGCACAAGAGTCGCCAAGTCCTGAACTAGGGCCGGCTCAAAAAGGACGTCGCACACGGCGGTAGAGCGCTTGGGCCGCTTGGGAAGCAAGGCCATGTGCGACCACAGGAAACACAGCATCCTGCACCGCATCAGCCGCTGAGGGTACTGAGGCACAATCCGAGAGTGAGAGACGCCTCAACCGAGGACGCACAATCGGACAAAGTAAGCCTTTTGAGCCCTGGAAAACCAGCTCGAGATGCCTGAACCTTATCAGATGCGCAGCGCATTGATCCTGAAGGTGTTTTTCATCACACGACTCATACGCTTCCC